AAAGAAGCAAACGGTTATCGGCCGTGACGTGGGCAGAGAGAAGTTGGCAAAGCCTGCATCATAATGTGGCCTCAGGGACACCTTTCCATGTGCGACATGGCACTACAGAGAACCCAGTATTCTATAACTGTTGATCAGAGCAGCCACTCAAGATGCTATGCAAGAGTTAGGGCTCCTAACTACCAGTCAGAAACAGCAACCAGGAAACTGTCAACTGTGTACCCTCAAAATGAAGAGGTAATGCACAGTCTGCACACATCACGGGAGAAACACGGCAGCACTTGTACAGAGGCCAGAGAGAGGAAGAGAGTTCCGGGAACCCCTTCCTAAACAAGAAACAAGGTGTGAGCCTCTAAGCTTGTCCAAGGGAAGGGGGAAGAATACTGACTGGGTGGTAGGAAAGCCTACCTACTCCTATTACATAGGACATGAACAACAACAACAATATCAAAAAAGAACAGAGGGAGAGGTAGTTGACAAAGTGTCCAGGCTGACACTAGGAGACGCATATGTACTGGGGGGAATGGGAATGTTATTTTATTTGTAATTTACACTTTCACTACACTAAGTTTTAACATAGAATAGCACAATGGGACTTATACTAAAAGGAAGAAAGAAAATAATATGGTTATCCAGCTTTGTGGACATGTCATAAAAGCCGACACACTTATGGCAGCATGCATTCATGTTTGTCCGTTTTCATTCTCATGGTCACTAGCGAGAATTGAGGCGATCTTTCACCAAGCTGCTTCTTTCAATGAACACAGAGCTGGGGTAGGGGAAAGGTCCAACAGGCATTCCTTCCCCCCTCCCCCAACATGGGCTTGCTCTCAATAATATTAAAAAGAGTGGGGAGAAAGAGACGCAGTCAAAGACATTTTTGTTTTTTTGTTTTTTTTTTCAAATAGGAGTTTCCAAATAAATGAACATACAGGGTAAACCTTTTCACTTAAGAGAGGCGGGGGGGGATGTCTGAAAAAAATTCTCAACTTCACTACCTTCCCCAAAATCAATATTTTGATGATTGGTCTGTAAAATACTCATTTTAGCAAGTAGGTCAGTTTTCAGCACCTCCTTGTACATTTAGACTACATAATATTTTTTTTTTTTTTTTAATTTAAAAAATCTGTACTGCTAGTGTGGTTTTAAAAAATGTAAACAATTAATTCAAGGGCCTTTTTTTTTAGCAACTGATAGCAGAAGAATTACATTCAGTGATTTGGGAGAGAATCTGAAAGAAAATTGGGTGGAGGGGCTGTCAAGCAAAAAAAAAAAAACGGTGGGGGCTTGGTTTGTTTCAGAAAAGATGAAATAATAAAAAACACAAAGGGATAAGTGTTAGGGCGTCTGAACATTCTCAATGAACCAATTCTGAAGAATAAAGACAGACAATACTCCAATCTTTGCATCACTTGTCTTAGTTGTAATTTCCAATAAACTTTACAGGCAATGCACATTGCATTGAACAGTGTATGATTCCAGAGTAGGATATAAAAAGAAAACTATATATAGTCAACATAGTTTAAGAAAAATAGTTTAGAAAATAGCTTTCCTAAGGGAAAAAAGTTTAATTATCTTCTTTAAGTAGAAAATGCATTGTAGAACAAAAAAAATAACAGAGAGCAAAAAATATGGATGAAAATCTGCAGAAATGCTACAGATTTTCAAAATATGGATGATTATAATAGTTAAAAAAAAAAAAAAAAAAGAACAACTGAGTTGGGAAAGAAATATTTATACTCTCTTCAAGTTGATTGTTAACCACTTTATAATGTATTGGGTTGTACCATATAAAGTGATGAATTCATTGTAATATTTACATTTCACTGTCAGTCTAGATTACAGTAAATCACTTCCTATTTTATAATCAGTGTACCTCATTTGACAGGTGGAGCATTTATCATAAACATTATTTGTACTCTTGAAAAAGTTGTCTCTGGGCCAAACATGACTGTTCTTTTTGCATAGATAAGGTGCAGTGCATCTGAATCAAGCAGAAACTTCAATTTGGTATTTGGAGAAGAAACTTCTAACAAGTAAACAATAGAAAAGTGATTTTAAAATAATTACACTCCAGAACTGAAAATATTCAAAATAAGCCTCAAGAAACCTGACAACTATTCAAGACAAATTGTTTAAGATCAATCTGAGTTCCATTTTAACAGATGGAAAACTAGTAAATTACTTAACAGAAAATATGTCATTGTGAGATGTTGTTCCTTATATGCAACAATAACCACCAATTTTGAAGTGACGTAAAATGAATCATTCCAAATGAATTCATGTGGAATAACTGTCTACATTGTCTACTAATTAAAGGAGAATTTCCTAATTATGGTGTCTTAAATATTGGATTTCACTGGAGGAAAATATGAAAAGAAAAGATAAATGTCTAAAGTTGAAAATTGATTCTTTGTTAAATGGTTGTAAGAAAAAACACTTGTTGACATATAAAAATCACTCATTTGATTCAGCAGGTAATGTTTAAAGAAATAATAATAATTAATAAGTATTTAATGTTTCGAGTCACTGTAGGGTCAGTTTTAATGTGTGGTGCCACCACTTGGACATTAACTAAAACCTCTAAGCTTGATCAAACCTACACTGGGATGCTGAGAGCTATACTTAACATCTCTTGGAGACAACATTGAACTAAATCACAGCTTTACGGCCACATTCCTGATATTTCTAGAGTCTTACATGAATGCAGAAAGCATTTTGCAGGACACTGCTGCTGAAGAAGAACTAATCAGTGATCTTCTGCTCTGGACAACTATTGAAGAAGATGGATTGGTTATCCAGCAATCACCTACATTGACCAATTATGTTATCGATGCCGCCGAATCAATCGTGTGCCCACAACCACTCTATGCCGTCGCCTGAGTCTCTGTCCTCTTCCACCCATCCTGCTCCAGCGTTGTCTCCGATGGTTCAGGCACACAGCTCGACGCCCAGAGGGAGAGCTCATCCACGATGTACTTCTCCCTCCTTCTCTTCCTGGCTGGCGAAAATGTGTCGGTGGGCAGCTGAGGGCATGGGCTAGCACAATCAAGGATGACCTAGCAGTGCTATCGGGTCCACAAGTAGTTGGTCTTTGACGATGGAATCGCGATTGTCTCGCCATTTCGTGTGACGTGGCTCAGGATTGGCGAGCGTGGGCAGCGATGGTCCATGATGCTGTACTTGCTCCGGAGGAAGCCAGTTCAACCTGACCAGGGTGAAAACTGATACAAGTCAAGTAAGTCCAATTATGTTATGACACAGAATGCCACTCTAACGACCTTCCAACCTTGATGCAGGAACGTGATGGCTGGTGTGATAGACTCATGAATGTCCAAGATAGCTTGATCGAATAACAATTTAATGTTATTGAAATATATAGCTACAGTAGATAAAATCTGCAACGAAAAGTCTTAACACTCTAGTCTGTAACAGTTTCGTAAATATTAGCCTATAGATTAGACCGGGTTGAATGGTGTTTCTAGCCTTTAGGGAAATGGGGGCTACAGTGTCTTAAATATCATCAAGTAATAGTAAAATAACCATTTAGTAAGCGAACAATGGTAGTGGAATCGAATGCATGATAATTTGAAAGAATCCTAAACAAATATGTGGAAAGAGTATCAAAAGGAAAATGACATGGTTATAATAATAATAATAATAATAAAAAGAAATTAATAAAAGACAGAAATGGTTTGAGAAGGAAGTGCAGGGCAGAGCCAGCATGTGGGGGGGGGGATGAGGAAGCTAGTCACATGATTAGAAAAAGGAAATCAAACGAGAGCTTAAAATGGCACATACTAAGTCAGAAACAGTCTGTAGAAAATGGGCAGTTGAAATTTAGGGATTGGCACCAAATCTTTTTATTCCAAAAATCAAATGAAGCTGAATAGCTCTGTGAAATTTGTGGCAGACAATGCGAAATGACAGACCGCAAACTGACAGGCCATTTCAACATTGTCAGTAACAGACTGGCATTTGATTTTTAAACTCTTTTTCAAATTTTTTACCTATACAGATTAACTATTTAATTCTTTTAGAAAAGTGAACAAAGAATTGGCATGAATAAAAATCTTCTTCCAGAGGAATTTCTGATTGTAGTAATAGAGAAGCAGTCAAAACCTGAACCAAATCTATTTAGTCTCTCTTGAGATATATACACTGTACATATAATAATAATAATAAAACCAAGTTTATTTTCTGTCTTTTTCATATCTATACCTATAAAAATACTTTCTCATAAACATAGCAATTTACCTTCATCAACAATTATAACTTGTGCAATTCAATTCCTTTATTAAGAGATGAACTTGCAAAAAGATTTTTAGTGTTGTGCTAAGTGAAACATACTGTTTCTTTGTTCATTTTTTAAAATTCTTTTACGTTTTTTATTAAATAAAAAGTCAGTATGGGACAATAGTTAACAAATGAGCCCTGTTGGATCTAATACTGTATAGAATGATTGCAAAATACTTTCCTCTCCCCAATTTATAGACAGAAGCACCTAAATGCATGCTGGGATTTCTTCCCAGCATGCATTTGTGTGCTGCTGCCTATAAATTGGGAAAGGGAAAGTATTTTGCAATCATTTCATACCGTATTAGAACCAACAAGCTCTATAAACCATTGCAACTGTAATGGTTTCAATCCTGATAAGGTGCCACAAATTTTTGGCCTTGTGTCAAACTAAGCTAAGTAAAAAGAGATTAGACACAGATAAGATAGTTTTGCAGTCCATTCCTACTGTAGTGAGTTATAGCCTCACATTTATGGTCTTGTGCCAGATAGTTTTTGAAGTTTGCTTTTACATTGTATATTTTCAAGATGTAGAATAGTTTCAGTCTAGATAAGTCAGGAATTTGAATGCTGATTTTAAAGGCATACATTCGCCCCCACTCCCCCACACTGAAACTTGGCACAACACAATATTTCCTTCCATATAACCTTATGTGTTAATCAGCAATTAACAATATGTATTGAGAAAATTAATTGGTACTTACCATGAGAATGCGCCTATAACTGTCTCTGTCAATACCCCACAATTTTACATCATTTTTAGCCTGAAATAAAAAAAAAATACTTAAATAAAGCAATGTCAAGAAAAAGACATGACAAAAATATTTTTCCATTTATTAATTTACAAAATATTAGAAAGTCTCAATCAGGTGAGAGAGTTTTTCCTTCTTTTTTGTTATCAGCCAATCTGGTATTACCTGTCACTTGTTGGGTAGAAGATGGATACTGACAATTAATACATTTACCTTGACCTTTGAAATACCACAAAGAATAAAACAGTCATCCCACCAAAATGACTTCATGAAGCAAAAAGGAATAAAAATTGAAATCATTTCCCTGAATTTTGAGATATTGTTATTCCAAAAGTTTTTCAAGACTATTGACCTGATTGGCGCTACCATAATATTTTACCCAACCTATTTGGTGACAAAGCAAAAGTGGAAGTCAACAAAGGAGACAAAATTTCTAAGGAATATATAATGTAATTCCATATTTGAAGTTTGGCCCTAAGATGTTTGAGCCAATTCATACATTGACCACCATTTCTTTCCCCTATGGATTGAGAAAGGTCTGAAAATAGATTGACAGAAATGCTGTGCTAACAGCAAAAGTAACAGAGAAGATTGAAATCAAAGAATACTTGAAAAGAAATTAAAGTATTTTGCTTCTATGAGAGAATACCCTAATAATGTTGACCAAAGCAATAAGTGTTTGTCAGAATGATTTTCTTAAAAGAAAAAGATTATTTTTAAAACATTTCTATTTGTTAAAGTAGGATCTCCAAACTATGGCTGACACACGCCAAGGTTTTTTTTAAGCCAACCAAGCAACTGAGAATATTCAAATGAAAATCATGTTATTCTTAGTTTACAGCCGATTAACTTTAGTCAAATAATTTGTTAGTTTTTGGCATTTTGACTGTTTGCATACACCTATTTCATCAATAGAATAATTGTTTCTGTATAATTGTCATCACTTTTTTTGGTTTCAATCATTCTGATTAAAAAAATCTAAATAAAACATTCTTTTAAATTTTATTCATTCATTAATAAAACAGTTTGATTGTTTTGTCTTCTGTCTAGCCAGCAAAATTGTGTGAAATCTACAATGTAATGATCAAACTGAAAGTTTAGAGACAGAAAACTTAAAGAGCCATTGAAGAAATTTGGCTCCAAAGTTAAAATTAATGAAACAAAGATTGAAATATGTCTCCTTTTCTAACACCTATTCAACCAAATTTTCATATTTTAGCTTCTTTTAATGAAAACCAAAATTTCATTTATAATAATAAACATGATTTAATTATTATTAATGAAAATTTTATTTTATTTTCTGTTAATGAAAAATGTTATGAAAATTTTATTAATATATGCAAACGATAATTCTAATAAACATTTGCTATCATTTTAGAATTTTGAAAAAATGAAATAACATTGATACTCAAAGATACACAGAGTTGAAAGCTGTCATATTGTTGAAAGAGGAAGAGATTGGTTTGAAATAAGCTCAATGCTTGCAATGCCAAAAGCGCCCTCGACACTTGCAATGCCAAAAGCACCCTCGACGCTGATGTCTGCGGAAAATAAATCAATAGAAAATAATACAAAACATCAAAAGAGAAAAAAAGATCCTGTGAAAAAATTATTTCTCATCTTAAAATGAGTGTATATTCACACGTTTTTTACATGACATATTCTATGTATTTTCTGGCTTAAAAGACAACCTTTTTTCCCTAAAAACTACTCTGAAATATACGTGTGTGTCTTCCAAGACGAATGTAAGGCAATGCCCAAGATTAACAGCTTAGACAGTCACATAAATGACTTGACTGATATGGACGTGGATTTGTATGTCGAGTCATTACACTAAAGTGTTAGCTACCTAATTCAGCCTTTTATACGATGTAACCTCAATACTTAGCTGTTACAAGTATTTTCAAAATTATAAATCTTCCTGGAGCCGAGCCACAAGTTTAAACATTCTCTGTTTACTAACAGTGGCAGGAGATTTTCTGCTCTTGATTAATATGTCATTGCCATAAAAACAAAATCAGACGAGTGATTAATGTAAACCAGTATGTGAGGGACGAATGGTGAATGTGGTGTTGTATGATAATGACGTTTTTTTTTGGGGGGGGGATACCCTTAGAAATTTCTTTCCACTATTAGGGTGCATCTTTCAAGCCACAGCGTCTTGTAAATATATTCACTTTAAATACAAGAGGAGTCATAAAAATGACTTCAAAGAGCTTAAAGCTTTTTTTCTTATTACCAAGAGGTTGTTGCTAGACATGGAAATTAATCCTTGTGACATGTTTTTTTTTTCAATTTCATTCAAATTGGGTTTTTATGTACATTTGTATGTAAGCATGTATATTTTAATCAGAGAGCAAACCTAAACATATTTCTACAAAATAAAAAAAAAACTTTATAAAATAATTATCTTTATGAGCAGGTGTAAATTAAATGCCAAGTACATACAAGTCATTCACACATTACATAAACATTACGTATATGCAAAATCACATGTAAGCAGTGTGTGATGGACAGAAAGTTAGCTCTTCTTTCATAACATGAATTAGGCTACGTAAATATTTGACCTTGTGTTACCTGGACAAGAAAAACAGTCTCATTACAAAAAAAAGTTCATTTGAAAAGAAAAAAATCCTTGCAAGAAATCTCCCGACTCTTTCAAAATCCAAGGATGGAGTGATAATCACAAGCTACAAATAGTCAAGAAAAAGAGACAATGAAAAAAAATAATCAGGTAACTTAATTACATAACACCTTCAAAACTACTATTAAGTTTGTATAAGACTCAACAAGTACCAATTTTGATGTCTCCAAAAGACAAGAATTCTAAGAAAATCACAGATTAGATGCTTTTTGACCCGATTTTCAATAAATGAATACAGATGAACCAGTAAACAATAATTGTATACAGAGGCAAAAATTAGATACAAAATTTCTCCCTACAAAATTCCCAAGTAAGTACACTTTTGAAACAAATTATGTGCACTCCTAAATAATCAAATCATTGATGTGTCTATAAACAGCATTTCAAAAAATCTAAAAGATACATTTTTAAAAATTAGACAAACTTCTATTCTGAATACTTTACAAAGAATATATTTCCAAGCTGTGGAAAAGTCATGAAAATTACTCATTTTATGTATTTATTTTTTTAAAGATTAAAAACAATGACAGTGTAAAATAAAAATTTTGGGGAAGAAAAAATCAAATCAAAAATGATTTAATCTATTCTAGAAATAACCAGAACCTTATCACAAAACAGACAAACAGAATTTAGCTTGACTCCAGCTTCAGATAACGTGTTGAACTAAAAATATATTTGATGCTTGTTGACAGGAGACCCATTCCCCAGAGAGCAGTTTGCCATTAGACTAAAAGGGGCTAAGGGTTAGAGATCTGCAACTGACTTAGAGAATCTAGCTATTTTTTTTTTTGATGTTTGTCTTGGCTGTTGCACTTGAAAGTCAGCTGCAGAGCTAGATAGAATTTTTCACTCTAAAAATTGTCCCTGTCCCTTATTTAGGGAACAATTGAAACACATCCAGATTCAGAAGTGATAATACAAAAAAAAGAGAGTGGTTAAGATCATGGTAGGAGGAGGTGCGGCCTATTAAAAAAAAGTCATCAAGGGAATTCAATTGGGAGTTGGGGTAGAGGGAGTGGAAGTCATTCCAAAAATCACAACACTTAAGCACACCTTTTTATTTTAAATTAAGTTTTCTAATGACATTCTTTGACAATTTGGTGCAACTTAATCATTGAATTAATTATAAACTTTACAAGGAGAATTTTGAAGGGGAACGTAACAGTTTCAAAAGCCATTAGAACCTAGAAAAAAATTCTAACAGTTATCTTGTCTCACCTACCATACACGTGAAATAAAAATTAAAACACATACACCCACAGGCTAGAGATGCTGTGAGGAAGAATTATGACTTTGCCAATAAATTCAATGAAATTCTTCTCTCCTATTTATTTAAATTAATCCATTATATTAAATGTAAACAGGAAAGAAAGAGAAATTCTATAGCAATTTTGAATCGGATGCTATGTACTTTTAATAGAGACAGTAGTAATAATTTGAGTTCATAAAAAGAAAAAAACAAAATTTATAAAAATGTACGAATGAAACACTGACTCTTGATAATATTGCAAATTACTATTCATCCAAAATAGGTGAAGTGTTTATTCAGTAAGGAACAGAGTAAATAAAATAACAGAAATTATAAAACAGAGCAATTTCCCTGATTATATTTGGAAGGAAAAAAATAATAATAATTGCATTCTCTTTCAGCTGAAGGTAATTTCCTAAAAATAAAGTCTAGCTACTTATATAAAATCTTTTGTAAATCTCCAAGATATGAAGAGAATATCATGTAAATCTATGCAGACCAGCAGAAAATGAATTATAAATGCAAAATGTGCTTTTGGTATAGAAATGTGTTTACAAACAACAAGTATTTCTGGTTGGGAAGAATTTCAAAACACTGAAGTAAAGAATGTATCTTTGTCGATTACAGATAATCATGTACAGAATATAGAAAAAAAAAAATTCTGCTTGAATTGGGAATTAAAATGACAAATCATTTTCAATCTCACCAGAGTTTTAAAAAAAAATCATTTTTCCCTCCACATCATTTGCAGCAATAGAATACATTTTATAATATAAATATCTATAACGTATTGATGTTGATGGCATGTGCACATCCCTGTTTGCCAGACTGGTTTATAGAAAACTTTAAAACGAAATGTATGCATTGTAATTTCATATTTGTGTACCCGTGTCATCAAAATTGATGGCAAGAAGGAAATTTATTATAAGTAATATGTATTACATTCTAAGTAATTTTTGTTTAATGTGGTTCATTGTTATTTTCCACACTACCCCTCAATTGTTACACCCAAAAAAACGTAAATATATATATATATATATATATATATATATATATATATATACACACACACACATACATACAGATGTTTAGTTTGAGCACAAGGCTAAAAGTATTAAG